TTAAAAACCCAACTTACTTGTTTTAAAATGATCCAAACTTAATCATTTGAAGAGGAACATCAAATACAAATTCTGTATTTAATTTTATTTATTTATACATTTTCTCTCTTTTGTGTCAGGAAATAAATAGCTTAAGCAACAAAAAAGAAGCCCATTAGGCTGAGCCCTGACAGTTGGAGAGAAAAGACAAACAGTGTCACTGTGATCAGTCCAGAGTAGTCCTGCAGGTTGCAGTGACAGCCCAGATTGCCGCGGCCAGCCCGGCTGAGCCAGCAGGAACTGAGGTCAGTGGTTATTAATCATTTGTCAAAGACTGCAAGGCTTTATCAGATAATTATAGTTATAAGTGTGTTTATATCACACAAACATGTGGCAAAGTTGCAAAGGATTCAGGCCCTAACACAATCTGCAATGACATTTTTAAAAAACTGCAGATAAGTTATAAATCATAAAGCAAACACTTTAGAAAATCATGCCATTCATTACTGCTTGGGCATTCTAGAATGATTTTCTCTATCGTTCCATTTCCATGAGCATTTAGAACCTGACAGAGCCTTTGACTACATTCCCTCCTCCCTCTAATTTTCCAATGAGTTATAAAAATAGCAAGTGTAATCATCATTTGAAACGAAAGACTGGTTATCAACTCCATCCATATGAACAGACAACCAGAACATAATCACAGCTTATTTCATAAAACTCATTCCTGAGAAGAAATATCCTACGCTGTTCTGAAGAATCTCCATAAACATATAAATAGATGTGCCTAAGGGACAGCTCTAAACCCTGCAACCAATAGTTGGCATTTTAAAATAAATGGCTTGGGGCTGCAGACGGCATCCATTTTGCTCTGTTTGGCAGCCTGCAAGTTTACATGCTAGGAAATATTTCTCAACATGAATGAACTGTGAAATTGTTTCCTCCTACCCCAGACTCCTCCAAATCGTGTGAGATTATGTTGGCCTTTCTGCACCTTGTCGCAGAGGCTGTCGGTGCCCTAAGAGGTGCTGTTGGTGGACGCTGGAGGCAAGGAGCCCAGCATCTGAGAGGCTGTTAAACATCAGTCAGTGTGTTAGGAAAAAATAATGGAAAACACCACCCCGTGCCTAACAATGCAAGCAGAAACAGCTTTGCTGCAAATCTAGACACGTGAGGGAATATGATGAGGTGAACCAGATATATTTCAATTCCCAGATTGTAAACTTCTCAGGGAAATGATTACCTTTGCATCCCACCTTGATGCAATGTCAAGCACTGCCCTATGAGGCTAAGCGAACGGTTTCACTGTGAGGAAAACGGTATCTGAATATAGGCAGTGCTTTAGATATTTTCACCCCAGAGCAAACTCTTCAAAACCCAAATCTGCCTGCTTTGTGGACTGCATACTATCTTTAATTTTAATCCTACACATACAAAACTAAGAAGATAATTATGTTGCAGAAATAAAACTCTTTCTAGAATAAAATGTGAATGAAAGACTTTGGGCATATTGGTTGTTCCTTTACATTAATGAAGCTAATTGAAAGGTGATTCTCTAAACATGTATATACATGGGTAAGAGTGTATGTAATTTAAAAAATTTTAGGTTCTTAGGTCTCTGGAGTACTGCAGGGATTTCAGGGATGCTCATGTGGCCATTCACCTCCCAGAGGCTGCCATCATCCCTCCTTGTGGAAGGGCGTGTGCATACTGCCCCGTCCACCCTGCGGGCATTACTCGACCACAGCCACACGGCATTCAGGAAATCGAGAGCCTACTTGCTTTTCGTGTATTGTTCAGAGATTCCATATGCAGAACTGTCAATCTAGGATTCAGGTTAGACGGCTGTTTATCCTAGAGGGTAGACTTTAGAGACTTACCTTCTCATTTCTTATATTTTTTCATATTAATTATCAGTATCCTTTAATTTTAAAGTTTAACTTTAAAGTTCTATATTTAAGGGTCTGAAGCATAGGATACTGTTTGTAAGAAATATATAGGAAATACAAATCTTAAGAAGAATCAGAGCTTTCAAATTTAAGTTAAATTACTTGTATTACATGATTCAATTTATCCCATTTTTATATGATGACATATGCCGACCTCATAATTTTATCATCTTCTGTATTAATGGCCCCAAAATGCCTTCCTGCCAATTCTCCAAGCTGCTGAATTTATGAGCCAAGAGCCAAGTCATGTAATCTGTAGGGTTTCTGAACAGTTAGATATTAATTTTTTAGGAAATCAGTGGATAACCTGCTGGCAAATGGAGTTGATGGTATTTTATTTTTTGCTTTAGAATGTGGCCTGCTTTTTTACTATGTAGAAATTTGAATAATTAATTTTTCCTAAATAAATTAACATTTACTTTGTTGTATAAGATATGCTGTTTAGTGAATTATCTTATATTCTATCTTTTTGACATCTACCTTTGGGAATTCAATTTGTAAAAGAGATATTTAAAGTTGCATACTACCACATCTAAATATTCATTTATTCATCCATCCAATATTTATGAAGTATGTTTTCTAGATAAGACAGTGAAGTAAAAGTAAGTAGTGTGACCCTTTGATGGTGGGACTGGTTTTTCTAAGTAAACTCTGTAAGTCTCATAAAAGTTACAGAATCATAAAGCTGGAATTGACCTCAGAAAGCATGAAACTCGAATCCTTTCTTTTACACAGGAAGGTATTCATATTATTAAATAATGTCTGGAGAGGACGAGAGGCTTATCTGAGACCATATCTTAGATTAGTGGCAGAATTAGGATGAAAGTTAGGTTTTCTTTCTCCACTTTCTGAAACAAAAGGCTCTACTTTCTAACATATCTTACTACCACTCTTATTTGTTCAAACTACAAATTCTGAATTTGTTATAATTTGGACCAGAGTTGGATTTCCAGTTACCCTGAAAGCTTACTCATGTATAGAAAAAAAGAATTTGTTAGGTAAATTTAGATGAGCTGCAAGATTGTACGCGACATGTTCACCTATCAAGAGATAAGTGATTTTGAGAATGTTAAAACACCTTCATGTATATGTGTGTGTGGTATATGTGTGTAAATAAAAATTCCAATTTCAATTTTAAGCTACTAGCTGACATGAAAGATTGACCAGGTCAGTTGCAAAGACCAGGAACACTTAGAAGAGATTACTAGTAAAGGATATTCACTCTACCTATGTCATGAATAAATGTCATGTGCCCCAATTAGAGTCCTGTAAACCATTCAGGTGGGCTCCTGGGAGCCAGGTAGTTTTACAAGGCGTGGCTCACTGTTCATTGCTGAATGGACTGGAAGTGGATACTTGGCCCACGCTAGGCCAACTGCACTCTCCCCCTTGGAAAGTAGAAATTGGGATTCAGATGTAGTCTGTCAGCCCCGGCATGTACTTTGAACAGTAATATGTAAACCCAAGAGCTATCAAACAGTCATATGTGGACTGGGAAGCACAGATAGCTGGTGCTCAGAGAGAAGACAGAGCAGACAGGGGGAAGCAGGCAGAGATGGAGTGGGGACACTGCTCGCTGCCTCTTGGCGTTCTAGTTCCTAGCTTCATGCCCATCCTGAGACCTGGTTACCCTTGGGTTTTATGATATAGCCCCATATTTTTATTTAACAAATCCCCCGACTTTCTGTCTTTCTCTCTCTCTCTCTCTCTCTCTCTTTTATTTTTGAGACAGAGTCTCACTCTGTTGCCCGGGCTAGAGTGCCATGGCGTCAGCCTAGCTCACAGTAACCTCAAGCTCCTGGGCTCAAGCAATCCTCCTGCCTCAGCCTCCTGAGTAGCTGGGACTACCGGCATGCACCAGCATGCCCGGCTAATTTTTTTTCTATGTATTTTTAGTTGGCCAATTAATTTATTTCTATTTTTTGTAGAGACGGGGGTCTTGCGTTTGCTCAGGCTGGTTTCGAACTCCTGACCTTGAGCGATCCACCAGCCTCAGCCTCCCAGAGTGCTAGGATTACAGGCGTGAGCCACCGTGCCCAGCCTCTCTGTCTCTCTTTTAAAACTAGCCAAGTTGTTTTTGTTATGTGTAACCACAGTCTTAATTCAGACACTATGTAATAGATAACACATAGTCGAGCCACAGTTATCTTTGGTTTTGGTCCATTCCATGGGACAACCCATAGCACAAGTTAGACAGCTTGATAAGGAGATGCATTTGGAAAATAAGATTATAGTAACTAGACTCTGTGAGTGGAGCTCAAGACAGATTGACTTTTCAATAAATTCCTGGCATATAATAAATAGTGATAAGGTAATAGTGTTTTCTATGGATAAACTAGCTTAAATACATATTTATCAGAAAGTCATATAATCTTACATATATTTCAAAGCTCAAATTCATATTTACTTATTCCTAATGAGCCTAAAATAATCGGGGTTTTCTATATTGAAAATGACATATGCCCATGACATTTTAAAAATAATGAAATAATTTTGAGATTATGAACTTTTGAAAGTTATGAAAAAAGAGAATGGCTATTTGAACTCATAAAAGCTATCTCGATAAATTTAAAGGCATCAGATCATATAACAAAGATTTATGCCTAAGTTGTACTAAATATTAAATACCTATTAAAATGAAATATTTATGCAAATAAACGAATAATGAATCAATTAACACTTAAAGAAGTGTTGCTATGTGATAGGAACTATGCTGAGGACTTTTTAGCTCAGCTAAAAAGTATTAGCTCATTCGAACCTCCCCAAAATGCTATGAGGTAATTATGCCTGAATTACTTGGCATTAAATGACTTGCTCCAAGTCCCACGGTTAGTGAAAGGCAGGTATGCAAACCTAGGTAGACTGTCATCCCTACTCCACAGTCCACAAAAGAAAAGTGGATGAATCAAGACTTTGTAAGAAAATAACTTCAGAAGCTTTTTGAAAGTTTTGGAAAACAATTTCATGAAAACAAGAAAAATGCACAATCTTCTAAATAATCTTAAAAAAACAAAAACAAAAACAAAAACAAAAACAAAAGCAAACGTCATTTAGATTATTAATGATTCTTACCGGGGATTAGAAGGAGAGGGTGGATTCATTTCTTTCTGATAGTGACGGCCCTGATTGACAGGCTGTAAAAGACAAATCATTTGTGAGTTACTAACTGCACAATGCTCATTACATACACGTTCACATGCACTCCCATTACTGTAATTTTTTCCTGAAACACAATCCATAAGAAGGGGAAGGGTTTATTTCATAAAACAGCCAAAGGCCCTTTGGAAGATCCAGCAAGTAGCAGAGTGCTATAAATGGGAAAGAGGTTATCTTAATGGCCAATCACTGGACTCACTAGCATCTGTGATGTAATTAAAGTTCATGTGTTGAAATATTCCTCCTTGTGGAATTCTTATACTGCTAACATTGGCTGATAACAAGGCATCTTGTGGAACTAATGCTGCATTGCAAGCATAAGCAATAACACAGAGACACTAACATTGAGACACAAATATATTTTCTGTAAGTTTGCAAGGATAATTTCTATTACTGCTAATGAAAATTATACATGTAAATCTTAGGTCAAAGTGTTCATTTTCCCCAAGTGTATAATACAACGTTAAGCATTAATCAATGAGCTAAAATAATGATACTGATAACCTAACAAAGATGTGAAATCTCAAATTCTTCCTTCACAAGAAACCTTTAAGTTACTGTCTCTTTCAATACATAGCTTAACAACTATATCCTATGCAGCCTTAAACACCTGCCTCCAGTGGAACTTGATCTTTTTCCTTTGTTCTGTAAAGGGAGAACATTCCATAGTATTTTTGAACATCAGCTCTAAGTATGTATGTGGTTAACAATAATGTAATTCTAACATGAAAGTCATTTTAACATTCTCATTTTATTACAAGTTGGAATTTGACACACATATTTAAATTGCATTCAAAGGGCTTTAGCTAGTTCCTTACCCAACAGAGTTGGTTGTTGAGTCTTTCTCACCCATAATAATGTGGCTCCACAGTGCTGACCCAACCCAGGAAAACAGTGGTGCCTATACAAAGAGAGCCCATATTCCTTGTTTTCCACATATTCATTATTTTAATGAGTCCTAAAATATTAATGACATAGGTGATAGGAATTTTTCAGAGTAAACTGTCTTCCTCTATAAATAATCTCTTGGAAGTGTTCCTTTAATTTAAATCAAATACCCCTTCTGATAATCACAGTCACTTAGCCTGACTACCTGTGATGCACCATGAATTTAAATGTACACAGATACTTTGGTAATTGCACCAGTATCAATGCATCACCATTTCAGTAATAAGAAACAACAGCTGGGAGAACAGTGGAAGGAAAAACATGTCATAAGACATATTTGATCTCACTAGAGAAATAAGACTTTCAGCAATTTGCAAGTGAAATTTGGTTCTACGACTTAGGCTTTAGTATTTCACAGCAAAAAAGAAATTAGCAAGCAAAGAGCTTAACAGGTTCTCTGGACCAACCCACAGTGGTATAGACATACTCCCGATGATAAATTCATTGGTATTCGTCCAGTATTTCAGCTGTACTCAGGCCTCCAGTGAATGGACCTCTGCCTATTTATTTTCAGAGGCATTTCCATAGCCCTCTAAGCATCACAGTCCTGTTATTCAGCCAAATTTCCATTTCTTAGTTTTATACTATTAATTCTATTTATATCCACCCCAAATCCCCTATTCCAAATGACTTATTCCATTCCTTGGAAAACAGAAATGGTTATAGCGTCCTATCTTGTTTGTGATTCAGCTCTCACTTTAGACTATGAAGACTGGTCCCTTTCCATGTTTGCTCATTGTTCATATAAAACAGTTTCAATGATACAGAGTAAAAAAGATCACAATAAAAGATTCGCATTCATAGAGATTTTTAAGTATTAGAAAACACACGCATACACACACACACACACACACACACAAACACACACAAACCAATGCAAACTTTTCAAAGTAATATTAGGAGTAATATTAGATAGGAGAATAGATAGAAAGAACTGGCTGTCTGAAGCCAGATGTACCCACCACAAATTGATATTGATGGAGCTCAGGACCTATTACCCCCAAAATACAGTGCCTTGGCATTTGAGAAAACAGCAGAAGCAGGAGGGTCACTCTTACCTCCCACAGTCCTTCTCCCCTGAAGCTGGTCAAAAAACCTAGCAAGCATTTTCTGATCTTCCCCTGGAGCAGGACACAAGACCCTCACTTAAGAGATGCTCTCCCTATACCCAGAAGAAAGGGACATTTATTTCTGAAGACACAGGGCCACAGAGAAGAAGAAAAGGCTTTGCTAAATGTCCCACAGTTTATTACCATTAGATCATATCCCCTTTGTCCAATCCTATTTCTCCATGATTTTCCACTCTATCAAATTTAGCATAAAAATATACAAATTTAAATGTTTCTTTGGTGCTTCTTTTCCTTATGAAGACTCCTGTGTCATATAAACTTAGGTTAAGTAAATTTGTATGTTCTTCTCTTGTTCATCTGCTTTTTGTTACAAAGGCCTCAGCCATGAACCTAGGAGGGGTGAGGAAAAGATATTTTTCCTCCCCCATGATACATTTCTATACATATGTAGCAGTGAACCTATTTTGGGGTAGGTAACATCCTATGAAAGCACCAGTGACAGAAATTAAAATTTGGTTTTTGATTTTGCCATTCAGCCACATCTAGAGAATACCACAAACAGACGCAAAGCTATGGAAACCTATATCTGTGAGTAACTATGATCATCATGATAATAGTGGTGACTGGTATTTACTGTGCACTTACTTTGTGCTAATCCTTGATATATATGATCTCATTTAATTCTCACAGAAATTCTATGAAATATACAAGATGAAATCCATATAATAGAACAGGAAATTCTAGACACTGAGTATTAACCCAGGAAATAGGGGAGCCAGAATATGAACCCAGGCAGTCTGATTTCACAGCTTACCCTCTTAACTGTTACTCTATAGTATTTAATCAAGCTCAGGAGTACACCTAGAGTGGTTAATATCTAAGTTTTGAATAACAAATATGGCAAAATCAGTTCAGTTTGTGGCAGGGAAAAAAAAGTGATCCTGAAATACATTTATTTAAAATATATATAACTACCTTCTTACCATACATTAAATTCATTTGATTTCATTCTCATGATATGTCACTGTATATTTAAAATTAAAGAAAATAAGTTTTGCAACATTGCTAAATTTGGAACAAATGTAAGATATAATAAACAGTATTCTGAGAATAAGTAAAGTTTATTTCATGGGGTGACTTTCATAGTCACTAAACAGAACAATTTCCACATTTCAATATTTTCTCCTGACAGCACAGATATTACACTGACTCTAATATCAGTTTTCGTATATCACTTCTATAGTTGCAGAAGAACATCTGTTCATCTGATTTATTTGTAGCTTAGCACAATCAACTACTTACCTTTTTAGTTCAGGAGGATTAAAAGAAAACTCATTACACCCAAAGAGAACTGAGAAGTTTAATGAATCTGTACATCAGAAAAAATTAAAACCTATTAACTATAAAGAGCCTGAAATATCAATATATTATATTTTGCATACAAAGTAGCCAGGAATATCATGCAAAATGCTGATATGCTATTGTGTAAAGAAATGGAACAGATCCAAGAAACTCAGGACCTCATCCTCTTGGTGGCGCTGTTGCTATGCACTAATGTCAGGAAAACAGCACGCATTTAAAATGAACTATCACAGAGCAAGAGAAGCTTTGCTTTTCCATGATCAAGCTGCTAGAAATTTGGGGATGAGGGAGAGAAATGAAGGCTAAATAAAAGAACAGGAGATAAGATAATCCTGCCACGTTAAAAGGTTAAGACAATATTTTTATGTCTGTATGTAAAACCTATGAAAATGGCAATAATGTTACAAGGTTAATCAAGACCATAAATATTATAACTTGTCTGAGAACCTCACCATATGCTTATAATTTTATTAAGTGTATTTCACCTCGGTTTTCTCGAAATATTATGCTCTGTTACGTGCCACGTTGATGGATGCATGCAATGAGCTTTTTTTTTTGTGTGTGTGCAAGCTGAGACTTACATGCTTGATATTAGGTTATGGGAATTTTTTTTTTTTTTTTAATTAAGAGATAGGGTCTTGCTATATCTTCCAGGCTGGACTTGAACTCCAGGGCTAAAATCCTCCCTCCTCAAGCCTCCCAAGTAGCTGGGACTACAGGCATGTGCTCTCATGCCCTGCTTAGGTTATGGAAATTCTTAACTTAAAGAAAAGATGGCTTTGTGGCTTCTGCTCACAGGGTAGCTGGACTTTAGGCATGCTTTTATTGAATCTAGGTTTGAGGAGGGGCAGAGAAACAAAATAATGAAACACTGAAATCATGACAGAGTAAAGCTCTGATGCAGTCAGTCTGAATGCCAATGGTTAAGCTCACATCAAAACAAACACAACAGCATCTCTGCCCACCCTTATAGGCCTCAGTAGTCATAAAAGGGAAAATGTCCTAGAAATCTCCTCCAGTCACCAGAGTGGCCCTTTGAGGAAAACAACCTCAGGGGAGCAGTAGTTTACAGTCAGTATGAGCTTATTCTGCTGAGTGCTGGGCACAGGCATTCCATGTACTCATTCAATTTGCATAATGCCAACATGAGGAAGGCCCTTTTATTATCTCCGTTTTATAGGTGATCGTGTCAGTAAATGGCAGAGCTGGGATTTGAGCCCAGGTTGGCTGATCTAGAGTTTATATTTGTTTGGTCATCACATGAAAGTGTCCACTGACAGCTATTCCTTGAAAAGAAAACATATACGTACAACACAGTTTTCTGCTATTGTTAATCAAAATCCCTCAGCAAGATAAAATTCACTTAAGAATTCATTATAACTAACTCCTAGTTCCCCTCCTAAGGTTGCCTAGAGCCCAGTTTTGGAATAAATCTCATGAGGGCTACTCCTAACAGAAACTCTCCAAAATTGATTACTTGTAGCCTGGTTTCCACAGAAGTTGTAAAGTATTGTTTTAATTGAATTTGGTTCTAAGTTAGAAACTTTGAAAAATTTGCCTGTCAAAGGCCAATGGATTTCTCAGTAGGCCTGATTTAT